TCTAAATAAACTCCACCATGCAACCCGATGGGCCGCACGCCTCAATGAGGAGGTGAAAGATTACTTGTTTTGGAGATCGAATCTCCAGTTGCTAACAATTCCTAACCTAACTACTAATCATTACCCTTGTCAAAAAAAAAAGAAAAAAGAAGAAGTTCTAAATTAATGATTTTCTATCTTATATTGGAGGGCAAAGGAAGAAATGAAGAAAATGAAGAATTAAACTGTAAGGACCCAATTGGTTGCTTTAAAAATATTCTGGACTTTTGAAACGATCCTCAAGGTTGATCGCTGAAAATCGACAACCCCACGGTTCGAACCGGATTAGAACCAGTTCAAATCTAAACCGGTTCAGACCCATCCCTCAACGGAACGGCGATTTCAATGTCTCTCCTCCTCCGTTCCATAAAATTGGAAAACAATGAGACTTCCTTCCAACGCTGCTATAAAGCTCAAGGCGCCGCTTCTGCTACATCGATTCCTCTCCCTCCCGTCGCCCGCCACCGTCAATACCGCCGTCGAATTTCGAAACGTCTTGTGCCCCGCAAGGAGGATTCTAACCCTCGCCGGAACCAGAGCGCTGCCGTTTCTGCATTGCAGAGCGATGGCCACCGCTTGTGAAGTGGAGCCTCTGGTGGTCCCGGTGAAAGAGCAGATTGAACTGACTGAGACGGAGAAGAAGATTTTCGATAGGCTTCTCGGCACTCTGCGCCACTTCAATCTCCAAACGCAGCTTCGTGTTGCCGGTGGCTGGGTCCGCGATAAGGTGCGTCACTGACTTACCGTCTATGTTAACCTCTGACGAGAATATACGGTTTGCAATTGTACTTCTGCTTTGGTAGGTGCTGTGGTTTAGGCCTTTAAGACTTTGATTCCTCTTGACATTTCTTATACTGGTTTTGTTTCTTTTGCAGCTTCTTGGCAAAGATTGTTACGATATTGATATTGCACTTGACAATATGTTGGGCAGTGAATTTGCTGATAAGGTCAAGGAATACTTGGAATCTACAGGGGAAGAGGCACAAGGAGTGGCTGTAATTCCAAGGTACATAATTTATTTTCTTGGAATTGTGGTGGTAAATTGATTTTTTTATTTCTAATAATTTCCTTAAACTTCATAATTTAGATGCACACTTTCTATCTCATGTTATGTGAATAGTGGTGTGTTTTGCAAATTGTTTGTGGCTCTTATTTAGTTTAATTTTGATTTTGCAGTAATCCTGAGCAATCCAAACACTTAGAAACAGCAAGGATGCGTCTTTTAGATTTATGGATTGATTTTGTGAACTTAAGGTGTGAAGACTATAGTGAGAATAGCCGAATCCCCACAATGGTAAACATTAAAAATTATTATTAGTATTATTATTATTTTGGTTTTTTTGTTGGGTATTCGGCATTTTCTTTTAAGGGTGGATGATTTCTTTCTGCCAATGGATATTTCAGTTTTATATACTTGCTTTCAAGGCTGCACCTATTCGCATAAATGAGTACAAAGAGGAGATAGGTTTCATGGATTAACTTGATAAACATTTACTTTATCTAAGATTTTGAATGTAATATAGTCAATCTTTTGGATTATAGAGCTCAAAGCATTCATACATTGATGCAGAAATTTGGCACAGCAGAGGAGGATGCATATCGAAGGGACTTAACCATAAATAGGTGCTTATTCTTGCAGTTCTCTCTGGTCATATAATTGGTTGAACCTCTTATGGTATTAATAGGGAATTCTTTTCTGTTTATCAGCTTGTTCTACAATATCAATACTGGCTCAGTTGAAGATTTTACCAAAAGAGGTTAGCAATTAGCATGTCATTTTAGTTGCTTTTCATTCTGGAACTACTTACCCCATATATTTGGAATTTGTACTTCTGTATAATTTATCTCCTTTCTTTTAATAACTTGCAGGGATTGCAGATCTAAAATCTGGAAAGATAGTTACTCCATTACCTCCAAAGGCTACATTTCTGGATGATCCCCTACGAGTTCTTCGAGCTATTCGCTTTGGTACTTGATTTTAGATTTTTCCCTTATTTTCCTTTATGGTTGATTATCAAGTAAAAATTACTTGTCCCTAATGTACTTACTCATATTCTTTTCCTCATCTACTAAAGTTCTTTACTGTAACATTTCTTTGTAAGAAGAGAAGGGTGTGGGGGCGGGGGGTGAGGGGGAGTTGAATTAGTTGACAGTATACTTGGGAATGATGGGGTTAACTAAGGTAGAATTTGAAACAATGGTGTATTCAAAAGTTGTAGTTTTCTAGCCTGAAACCTGGGAGATAGAATTCATATAAATACCAAAACCATAGGGGAGTTAACAGTTGCATGAACAGTTAAACAGATATTCATTGTGCTTAGAAGGTGGCCTTAACCTGTAAGGGACTTACATGGTTGGATGATAAAAAGTGAAAATAATGATCGTATGGGTTATGTGTGAGGTTTTGAGTAACATCATGTGTTGTATGGAAGACATGGGTAACGCTCATCCTTAAGTAAGATTGAAGAGATTTGTGGTCTTTTGCTGAACATTTACTTTGGCCCTGCAATACATAAATCTCATTACATGCAACTATTAAGGTTAAGGTTGATAGTGTATTTTAATAGGGTAGTTTTAGATCTTCTAGAGAATGTACAGCCTTTGAGCTTTGACTGGAAATAATGGAGGAAAAAAGAATTCACATGGTTAATCTAACTACTTTGAGATGAAAGCTTTTACAGTTTTCTCTTAAATTATTTGGATCATATTTTGTGAATTTAGGTGCAAGGTTTGGTTTCACACTTGATGAAGAATTAAAGAAAGCAGCTGCTTGGGATGATGTGAAGACAGCTCTTGCAGCTAAGATTAGCAGAGAACGCATTGGAACTGAGGTATTGTGCACAATGCCGTTGCTGCTACTTGGTTAGAATTTTTTTTTTTCTTTCCTCTATGGGTTTTACTGTTTACTAAGGAGATTCTGCTGACTTTAGTTTGCATTCTTAATTTTGTAACTTGTTTCTTTTCCATGGCTTACCTTTTTATTCAGATTGATCTCATGATCTCTGGCAATCAGCCCATTAATGCAATGGCCAATATTTGTGATTCGACATTATTTTGGATTGTCTTCGATCTTCCTCCTGAATTTGAGCCTGCATTACCAGAAGAGCATCATAGGTATACAGTTAGTTTAATAACATCATACATTGAAAGTACTTGGTTTGGTAATTTGTAAAGAAAAATTAACTGGTACTGATGCTAATATTGTTGGGGGAATTTCACCACATATGGGGTATTCTTTTCTAACTTCTCTGATTTTATTTGTGATCATGTGTGTTTTTTTTCACCACATATAGGCTTTGCATTGCTTACGTGGATGCTGCATGGAATCTTATTAAACTAATTGGATGCTCCAACTTCAATGTGAGTGATGAATCTATGAAGTATTCCACTTACTTCTCTCAGTTGCTTTCTCACTTTGTTTTTAGATATTTATCTATTAGTACTTTTTTCAATTCTCTTTTCCTGTTTGTTCTATTTGTTTTTCATAGATTCAAATTATGCTTTTCTGCTACATTTGAATTTTAGGATGAGCAAAGAAGGCTTGCTTTGTATGCTGCTTTATTCCTTCCACTCAAGAATACAACTTACAAGGATCGCAAAGCTAAAAGGGTATCAATCACAATACTTCCTTGTCTTGTATAATTGTATGTCAATAGGGTTAGGGTAGCACATGATATATCTGGCCCACCTATAGGATGTTATGCAAATATTTACTGTTAACAGTATCTACTTTGTCACCAGAATGCCCATTATTACCTTGCTAGAAAATTATAATGAATTTGTTTTTAGACTTAATTAAATTCAATCTTCTATTTGTGTTGGTTATTATATGCTGCTGTGTAGCTAAATCCGTGTACCCGTACTGCAGATTCCTGTTGTCAACCACATTTTGAGGGATTCTCTTAAGCGAAAAGCAAGTGATGCTGAAACAGTGAGTACAATATATTTCTTTCTAATATCCTGACATTTTTTTTTTGGTACAACTATCTTTTGGGTCAGTCCGTTAACTTGAATTTGCAGTTCTATTGCTGAATTAATTTCAATTTTCACTTGTTTGTAGGTTATTAGCATTCATAATGCATTGGAGAAATTCTTATCCTTGATTCCAGCTCTTGTGTCTAATGACGATGCCCACCTCACCGAATTGGAATGGGGAAGAGAATTTATTGATGTCCCTGGTACTTCAAAATTGCGTGTATTAACAGGTAGGGAGATATTGCTGTTAAACGGGGTGCAAATATCAAAACACAGCACTTTTCCCCTGAATGCAACCAGTTAAATAACATCACTGAGAATGATGTTCTTGGACATCCATGGAGTTTCTCATCCATGTCTCAGTTTTCTTTGTTTGTCGTTTTGTATGTTAAAAGTTGGACTGCCTGCCTCAGTTTTTTAAAGTTGTGTCCGTGTTCATAATCTTTTGAAGTTTTGGTTTAGTAGTGTTTTCATGATTTCCTGTCATAAGCTTTGTAACTCTCATCAGTTAAGTCTTATCTGTCTTTTTCTTTTTTCCTTCCAAACTCTCATAATTAATTTGTAAAGTGGTCCATCTATACTTGTATTCTAGATCATCTATCATCCTTTTTCACTTCAAGCACTTAGCAGGATTGTGGCACCATGTAAATGTAATAACTTCTATTTACTGTTGTGACGTAATGTACAGGGTTTCTGCTCAGAGAAATTAAAGATTTCTGGCAAGTTGCCTTGTTGATGTCTACCTTGCTATACCCTGCTGAGACTGATTATACTCAAGATATGCTAAACAAGAACTTTGAACTGGACAAGAGGAGAGATTTGTTTGTGACAGTTGAGAATGCCATTGTTGTTAAACTAGGTACAATCAGTTTCCAGTTTATAAATCTCATATTAAATCCTTTAAGCCTCCATTCCCTTCTGTTCCTTATCTTGAGTAATCATTGCGGTTAATGCAACCATATGCTTCTTCAGTTTTCAATGCCTCATTTGCAGTCATTTGTTGGCATTTACCTATGTGCTGTTTTGTTTGTTGTTTGCTGGAATGTAGGTCTGGAGAATGTTTGGGATTTAAAACCATTAGTCAACGGGAAAGATATAATGAATGTTTTGCAGCTTAAAACTGGAGGACCACTTGTTAAGGAATGGGTAAGTCATCTTCAGCTCCCTAAAATTATTTAGAACCTAAATATCTGAGTATTATTCTCTTTTCTTCTTCTCTTTTCTGGCAGCAACAAAAACTGCTTGCTTGGCAGTTGGGTCATCCCTCTGGTACCACAGAGCAATGTCTGGACTGGATGAGAGAAACCCATTCAAAACGCATAAAGAGGGAGTAACTGTTTCCTCAGCCACCTTCTTTCTGCTTTAGGCCAAGAGTTCCTGGAAGAACAAGCATGTGTATTCCCCCTATAGTAATTCTTTTGGATGTTTCAGAACAAGGTTAGCATCCAAGCACTGGCAGCATCCTCGAACTTGAGCATTTCTAACTTCCGAACATTGGAGAACACTAAAATGCTTCACAGTGAGCAGAAGTAACCATGAGAAATTTTGTTCCCATACTTGCTACTTGTACCAGCGGATAAACTTACACTAGATGTCAAGCTAATATCTGTAAAACAGTTCATAATTAGTTACATTTTATCACCTAATAGTTGGACCGTAAAATCAGTTGATATAAACATGTGTATCTTATTTCTTATTAATCTAAACATTCTTTATTTTTCAGTTTGAATTATATTGAATTATAAAATATGAATTATTAAATGTGAAGAGGATTTCTAATATTTAGCACTTATTGTTTCTCATTCAATGGAAAGTAATGTGTGGTTTGATATAATTTGAATTATAAAATACTTTTTTCTTTTATGTTAGTTGCACAACGGGAGATAACTCTTTTTTATTATTTATCTTATCTTATTCGCATGTTATATGATTCGAATTTAAGATCTAATTAGAAAATTTCAGGAAAGTCTCTTCTCTCTCATTTTGCCCTAATTTTGGCCGTAGATTTAATTGATGGAAAATTAAATTTTTTTAAGGACTTGATTGTGAGCCCCGTAAAAGTTGGAGGGCTCAAATTAGTATCAGGGATATTCCCTTCAACACCAACCCCGTCCAAACCCAAGGGGCAGACCAGAAGTGGTTTCCGTTGAGAAACCAAACACTCCATAAATTTCACCGGTAATCGCTAAGCATAACATGATGCGTCTCCTTCTAATCGTAACTGTGCTGCTATGCATCGCCGGCGTCGGAGTTTCTTCAACAGCAGAGCAATTCAAAGTAGACGGCAAGGTGTTGGAGCTCGACGATTCCAACCTTGACGCCGCAATTTCAGCCTTCGACTACATCTTAGTCGATTTCTACGCTCCCTGGTGCGGCCACTGCAAGCGCCTCGCTCCTCAGGTGCATCTCTAATCTTCATTTCTTCATTAATTTAAGCTTTAGATCCAGAAAATCGTTTATTTTCAACATCTTCTGACTTGAACTCGATAACTGCGATGCGATCCATAATTTGTCTATGGCAAAGTAACAGCTCTACGGTTGAATTGCAGTTAGATGAGGCTGCTCCAGTTCTTGCTGAATTAAAGAAGCCCATAGTGATAGCAAAAGTAAATGCTGACAAGTTTACTCGTCTTGGTACTAAATATGAAATTGAGTAAGCACTTTTTGCCCCTTTTTTCTCTTATTCTGGATTTACAAATAAAATGTCTACTGCATATTGGGTAGTAGAAAGATGCAAAAAGATGCAGCTTTTAGACTATAGATCTGTGTCTGAAGTATGGCAATAGTCACAATGCAAAATTCCAAAGCATATGAAGGAATCATGTTTACATTTATTTTAACTCTGATGCAGTTTGCTTTTCTGCTGATGCTTGTATCCGGAATTATATTATATGAATGATTTATTTCAACCCTTCCTAACTTGCTAGGAAGAATAGTAGCTAATAATTATAATCTAATGCTAATTTTGCAGTGGATTTCCTACCCTGAAGCTTTTTATACATGGAGTTCCTATAGAATATTATGGGCCAAGGAAAGCAGATTTACTTGTTAAATATCTGAAGAAGTTTGTAGCTCCTGATGTCTCTATTCTTGATTCAGACGCTGCCATTAGTGATTTTCTTGAAGCGGCTGGGAAATATTTTCCCATATACATAGGTTTTGGCTTGAATGAGACGGTAATATCTGACCCAGCTGTCAAGTATAAGAAAAAGGCATGGTTTGCTGTGGCAAAGGATTTCTCGGAGGATGTCATGGTGTTGTATGACTTTGATAAGGTTCCTGCTTTGGTCATTCTTCATCCAACCTACAATCAGAATAGTGTTTTTTATGGCCCCTTTGAAGGTTAGTTGGTAATTACTAATCAAAGTATCAAGCCTAATGTGGATGCTAAAATTATGTTACTCTTGGTTGCATAACTTGTATCAGATATCAGCACCTTAAAACTAACTGGTCACTGCTAGTTTACATGCTTTGTCTCTGTATGGTTATGGCCTTGGATCAAATGCACTGAAGTAGAAAGAATTCCTGTTAACTACTTTGGAATTAAGGGTTTTTTAATTTGAATTAAATTGAATTATAAGAACTGCAAAGCGCAAAATATCTGTTTTCAATTCAACTTTTTGTTTTTGAATATCATCTCTAGATATTTATTGTTTGCATAAAGAAAAGCATTCTTAATGTCAGTGTCAACCATGCAGATGACTTTTTAGGGGATTTTATAAAGCAGAATTTGCTCCCTCCAGTAGTTCCAATCAATGATGAAACATTGAAGCTATTGAAAGATGATGAGAGGAAAATTGTCCTGACAATTATGGAGGATGTGGTTGAAGAGAAATCACAGCCATTAATCAACTTATTGAAAGCTGCTGCATCTGCAAATCGTGACTTGGTATTTGCCTATGTTGGGGTTAAACAATGGGAAGACTTTGCTGATACATTTGAGGCCAATAAGAAGACAAAATTGCCAAAAATGGTTGTTTGGGATGGAAATGAAGAGTACCATTTAGTAAGTCTTATTTCTTCTAAAATCACATTTTTGCTCTAGTTGTTGCTTTACCAATGTTGATTATAGCAACTGTTTCTCTTTTTAATTATATTGTAGCTTACAGAAATGATGATCTTTGATTAACCATGACTTTTGTATGTGGATGATCTCTCTGTGAGTCAAGTTAGGATTTGTCTATGTCGCTGCTCTTAACTCCATATGTATCTTATCTAACCTGGTCTCTGTTCATTTTAGGTATCTAAATGAACATTTAGAGCTTTCATCGCTTCTTTTCTAACTTTTTGCATTTTCTTCTATTATTCACCACAACCTTGTCTTCAAAAGCAAATTTGTAAATGTTCAGGTTTTCTTAGACTTCTATAATGGTTGTTCATGGTTGTTTCTTCCTTTCCCTTTTCCATGATAAAGAAGCAGAGTAGATGCCCTTCTTTTCCATGCTATTTGCTCATTAGGTTGTGATTATTTATTGTGTTACATTTCATAATTAAACAAAAGGTTATTATTCTAATTAATGTTTCAACATGTTTTTCTTTGGATTTGGAAACTACAATAACATAGACTCATTTACCATGTCTATTTCTATAAAGGTTATTGGTTCTGAAAGCCTCAGTGATGAAGATCAAGGATCTCAAATTTCTAGATTCCTAGAAGGATATAGAGAAGGAAGGACAGAGCAGAAAAGAGTTAAAGGTCCTTCATTGATGGGCTTTATCAATTCACTGATCGGAATCAGAAGTATCTACATTATTGTCTTTTTGGTTGCTGTGTTGATGCTTATACGGAGTCTTGGCAACGATGAAGAACCTCCCAGGGTTGGCACTCGCAATCAGGTTGATCATGCTAGGAGCTTTGAGGCTGAAACCAGTGAGCATAGATCTGGGGAGAAAGAAGATTAAAGAAGGTGATATATCTGCCTGTGGAAATACGAACTGAGAAAATGGATTAATCTGAAAACAAATTTACAGATTGGAAGATGAAAAGTTAACGCAACACTTTTTGTGGAGTGGTTTATCCCCATGCATCGCTCATGTAAATTTAATCTATCTCGGAGTATGTCATTTTGTTTTCTGAAATGGAGGATTATATTACTATTTTGCGTACTCATTCAGGTTAAAATGACTTCTGCCTCTCACTGCTCTTATTAACACTGCTATTTCAAAATTTAATTATGTTCCCTTTATTCTATGGAACTTGAAGTAATCATGTTCTGTTTTGGACAATTCTCATCTGTAATCATATTCTCTTTGGAACAAAGTGAAAAAAGCCGTTCTTCCTGATTTCTTTCTAATTAGCCTAAAATGATTAGGGTGCTTGAGTGGCATCTTTATCCTACCAGCATTTTTCAGTTAATTTTGCAAAGACAGGGACTACTGGATCAGATACAGCTATCAAGAGCGTCATCCCCATCTCATGGTGTAAATTGTGCAGTTTAGTATAATTTAGATTGCCTGACATTTTTATTTATTCTTCTTTTGTGAAATACCTCTTTGGAGTATAGATCCGATTAAGGATGTGTTCCTTCATTAATAAAAGATGGAGAACAGTATTGAAGTGATGCACTTTCCAGTTCCCACCCAATTTACCAACATTTCCACATCCATGGATCAATCTTCCTCTTTGCTACAAAATAATTTGTAGTTGAAAACCATTGAATTGGTAGCGTAGTTTTCGAGTTTTCCTTTGCTTAAGCCTCTCGGCAAAAATACCAACATGCTTGTGCTGGCATTCCTTG